AAAAAAAAAAAGGAGAGAGAGAAGCAAATACTAAGTATTAATTTAAATAGTTAAATCAGCCAAGTGGATGAAAGAGTTGTCGATTTACTACTAAAGCTACTATCAAGGAGCTAGCGACAACAAATTCGTAAAAATTGCTCGTGTGGTCCTGTCGAGATACTTGAGATAAACTGACCCTTGTTAAACAATTATCACTCCGCTCGGCTTAACTACTTAAGTGGTCGATACATATAAATAAAAATGTATGTGTTTGGATAAAAGTTAAATTATTCAACAATGATCACAATTTCACAACTACCGTAACAAAAGAGGAAAAAATGGAAAATGGGCTGAGAAATATTCACCTGATCATATTTGTTTATGTAGAATATTATATTGGGCAATCTTCTCACGGGTGATGATTCTCTTCGGAACATGGCTACTTCTTGTCTGTCTATAGCAGTCACCTTTCGATATACTTGTCCATTACTGTTTGCTATTTTGTCTTAGTCACTAAACCAATTGACCATGTCTTTCTCTACATTTTCTTCTTCTCTCACCATTTTTATGTTCCTCTTCTTCTTCCTCATTTTACCTTCCTCCAATTCTTTGCTCAACTCCCTATCCATCAATGCCACCCTCCGGCGACAGCCTCGAAAACTCACCGTTAATTACTATGCCAAGACTTGTCCTAAAGTTGAAATTCTCGTTGGCTCAGTAACCTCCCAGATGTTCAAAGATGCCCCTGCCTCTGGCCCTGCCACCATTCGCCTCTTCTTCCATGATTGCTTTGTTGAAGTAAGTCACAATTCCAAGTGTATGCGAATTCAAAATTTAAATTTGATGACTTCGTTGTACTCTTGAAATTATGTTTTCGCATATATTTATGTTCTATTTCAAAAATACTTGAACTCACTAAACAAGGCTCCATCCGCCTCTGATTATTTATCTCTAAGATACTAGCTTATCCACCGTATGAATTCTCTGTGTGCTACATTTTTTGGCTTGTGAATTGTTTTTCATTATGTTTATGTAATTAAATGCAGGGGTGTGATGGGTCAATATTGATATCAAGTAAACCAGGAAGCAAAGAATTAGCAGAGAAAGATGCAGAAGATAATAAGGATTTAGCTAAGGAGGCATTTGAGGGCATAAACAAAGCCAAAGCTGTGGTGGAAAGCAAGTGTCCAGGTGTTGTTTCCTGTGCAGACATTCTTGCCATTGCTACCAGAGATTTTGTCCACTTAGTAAGTAAATCAAATACTACAGAAATTAGTCTACTAATTTTAAATGGTACCATGTACTTTACTTTTTATTTTCCCTTTTTTCCGTTTTTGGTTTTCCATGGGCATGTAGCTCCATTATAATGCTAATAATGGTCCTCATCTAAAAAATTTTTTTTTTAAAAAAAAGAGTATTCTTGTGCGACTGTTTTTGGGTTTCAGTCCGTCAGCATTCTTTTTGATGTCAGCAGCAGTTTAAATACCAGAAGATTAATACAGAGTAGGGTTTTATTGATTAGCATTTCACAGGCAACTTCAGAATTCTCATTGGAATCAAAATTCGAAAGTCTGTGGCTAAAATTCATACAGTAAGTTCATCATTTTCCAAGATTAAAAAAGTGCATAAGTCCGTAGTGTAAATTAACTACTTTTTACCTCTTATCTAAAGTTAGAAAAAGTCTCGAATGAAAATACACGAGTGTCTTGAATTAAAATGATGTCAATATGTAAAAGTTGGTAGTTTTACTTTATTCTCCAATAGATGTACAGCTCTTAACTTATTCCTATTTTTCGCTTCAATAAAGCCTAGGCCCTGTTGCCCCGTACCTAATTTCGTACGTAAGGCACCACAAAATATGTCTGGATAAAAAGGAAAGAGTCATTTGGTCTGCTTCTTTTTCATCGAAATTGTCTCCTTCTCATATCATCTGCAGAAATCTAATGCATGATATCAAGATGTCTTATCCCTCTATCCAAATTTCCAAGAGAAGAATCAAACGGTTCTCGATTGATTAATATATAGGGAGCAATAGTCCAAAATCGTGCATTTTTTTGTGTACATATAAAAGCTCAAAATAGCTGTCCAAATTTTGGCATGATATGAGAAGCAAAACAAAGGTCATATTTTCATCTATATATTGTATGTGGTTTCCGAAGATTTGAGTTTCTCCAAGCTAAGGTACCAAATTGCAATAAACATCGTTCATTTGATAGTAACGAGCTGATCAAATAGATATGGAAAGACAGAAGACATGTGAACAGCTACATATTTTAATGTAATTCCGTGGGCTCCAAAATGAATTCTTGGGATAATAACAAGCTTTTGACTTGTCTTTCTTCGAGAGCCACACTGCATGATTTGAAGAAGGGCCAGATCGTTAGAATTGTCCCACCAACTGTTGTCACCTTTTGCTCCACATTGACTATTGATGGGCCAAAAAACAGTAGACTACGGGAATGGAATCTTGGGAAGCTTAATCTCATGAAATTGGAAATTATGAAGTTCTATATACATTGTTACTTGTAAATTAGTTACACTAATATGTTGCAGTATGTGAAAGCGCACATACTGTCAGAATATATATTAAATCGATTTACTAAATTAAGTTTTATTATAGGTTGATGGCATCAAAACTTTGTATACTATCCGTGTAATGTAACATGTGTAATAGCACGCTTAGATATCGTCTCTAAAAAATTATTAACAAATGTTAATTATAATAATTTATTTATAATTACTTTATATAAGTGATCTAGTTATATAAATTTATATGTTATAGCCTAATATCATATAAATTTATATGCTTTGAATAGGTTGGAGGACCATATTATCAAGTGAAGAAAGGAAGATGGGACGGAAAAATATCAAAGGCATCAAGGGTGCATCAAAATCTTCCCCAATCAAACTCAACGGTGGATCAACTTTTGAAAATCTTTTCCTCAAAAGGACTCACACCAGAAGACCTTGTGGTCCTCTCCGGCGCGCACACCATTGGTTTTGCACATTGCAAACAATTTGTGAACAGACTCTATGACTACAAAGGGACCAAGAAACCTGACCCTTATATGGATCCTAGGCTTCTCAAGGCTCTCAAATTGTCTTGTCCACAATTTGGTGGCAATGTTGATATTGTAGCACCATTTGATGTGACAACTCCTTTCTCATTTGATAATGCTTATTATGGGAATTTGGAAGCTAAGTTGGGATTGCTGGCTTCTGATCAAGCTCTGTCTTTGGACCCTAGAACCAAGTCTTTTGTTCAAGATTTGGCAAATGATAAGCATAATTTTTTCCAAGCTTTTGCTGCTGCTATGGAGAAAATGGGAAATATTGGGGTGAAAAGGGGTAGAAAGCATGGGGAATTTAGAAAGGATTGCACTATGCATATGTGAGTCTTGGGTTGTTGGATCTAATTTCTCCTAATTCTTCATTTTTTTCATTTGATTGTTATTTCTTGGTCCTTTTTTTCCTTTTTATTTTGAAGGAATCTTGTACACATCTATGATAGTGACTAAAAGCAAATAAAAAAGGAAAAACATAATTTCTTTTGGCCTTAACGGGGGTTTTTATTTTCACTATTAACGGGTGATTGGAGTTATCTTTTTCAGCCTTCTGTAAATTAATGATGATTTTCTCTCCCTCCTTTATTTAGTTTTTTTTCCGTTAATAAATTCAGAATGGATTCCCCAACTTGATCCTTGGTATTAGTATGACAAAAGATTAGGTTAATTTTATGAACGATCGCTCAATTTTTACGTTATTGCATTAAAGTTGCTAGATCATATTTGGTCGCATAAATCACTAAATTATTTTTGTAATTAAAGAACCACTCATCTATATTTATACTATATTAAAAGCACGAAGGCATTTAGCGAAATATTTTTACCATCGTAAGTTTATTCTATTTTGGATAAAATTGTAATTATAAACTCTAATAAATTTTTCCTATGGAATAAAACTAAAAGTTGCCGTTTATTTCCGTTTTTGTTGCATACGACTTTTATTTGTTTAGGTTTAGGTTTCACTTTTAGTATAGAATTCTTTTACCAATAAATATTTACTTAGTTGTGTCTTTTCTTTGTTTAGATTTAGGATCCTTTGTCAAAATTTTCTTATGCTACAGATCTTTTATAACATCTTGATTTTCGTTTTAAATATTGTATGTAGTTTTATTTCGTTAACAAGTTTTATTTTCGTTTTAATTATTGTAGGTATCCTACAATTGATCATTGGAAGAAGCTCTTAAAATTTCGTGGATTTGGATACGGCAGTGACAACAGTCTCTAGAGGCAAAAGTTATTTGTATTTGAGGTAAACCTATCTTTAGTGTGTTTTGGAAGTTAAGTAATAATTATGGTTCATGTATTCTTGACAGACAATATAAATTGAAAAGTTGTTAGTTTTGTATTTTTTGTTTACAATTTTTCATATATGATTATCAGTTTAATGACTTATTTATAGATTTAGTACAAGTTATTTAGATTTTAGATCATTTATTTCGGTAACAAAAAAAATGTTAGACATTTTAACTCATAATATCAATTCAAGATCTTATTAATTCAAGATTATTTTGCCTTATGTTTTATAATTAAAACTGCTAATTGTTGTGCCAGCTCAAGTTGCTCATATTTTCTAAGAATTTGTTTTATTACCTCTTTTAATTGATTTTATTATAGATATTACATGATCTAAAAATTGTGTTACTTATAAAGAATAACCATTAACAAGTGGCGTCCCAAATTTTGACGATTTGATCGGTTCAAGTAAACAATTCTCCTCATCTCATAAAAATAGTCATTATAGAACATTATGGTAATATTTTAGATTTTTCATTATAAAATTTTAAGAAATATTAATTTTAAGGTGTGGTGTGTGATTTTTCCGTCTCACTTACAATTTTAAATTTTGCTAAACAATAAAATTGCTTTGACACGAAAACAAACTTATTACGTTTTGAAAGTTATATGTCTTTGTTGAAGTTCGGCTACGATTTTTTTTTTTTCCAATCTTTGATCTTAAGAGACTGAAATTTTCTGAAATAGCAATTTACTTTAATTTACTTTCGGATAATTTAATTGTTTTACCTTTCTTTAATATTTATACTATTCGTGTATTCTTAAAAATTGTTTGTTCTCATGATGAAGATAGGAGTATAACGTCATAGTAGTCACTTTTGTTGTATAACCTAATAGGCGTAAAACTTATGGTTAATTAAAAAGTTGACAAAGTTAAATTATTTGTAAATAAACTTTTATTTTGTATTATTAAGAAAAGCCAAAAATAAACTATACAGAGATAATGGACAGACTTGCAGCATGATATGGTGTTGTTTAACCCATGTAAACTAAGTACTATATATTGTGGCGCCAATGTATTAGGAGACAAATTTTCCTACTTTGTTCAATTTTTATTTAGCATTCAAGTATTTTTATTGAATCTTCTTTTGAATAGAATTTTAAATATTTTGATCGACTTTTACAATCTTACTGTCTTGTTGGTAATAAAATACTTGTGTACAGTTGATTTCAGGTATACTCGCAATGACAACTGAAATAAAATTGACAAACGAACGTGTTCCAAGTAACGTTTTAATAAATCTGATTTTCAAATAAGAATCTTATTTAAAATAGATTAATCAAAGTAGTACATTGATAAATGTTCGAAAATCATGTTGTATCAGTGTACTAATCATATGAAAGCGCAAGACAAAAAAATGACACTAGTTATATCCAAGGTTCTTTTTTCGGATGTTCTTCTAAATATCGAATAATTTTAAATTCTATTGCGCTAAAATATAATTAAACTTATTTTTCATTTAAATACATATTGCATTTATTTGGACGTTTTTCTACTATACACAATTTATACTTAATGTATATAATTCTTTTATTATGAGACGTGATTTCCACGTGACTAGTGTATACTTAAATACCATAGAAAGTTATTAGGAGAGAAGTTAATAATTAGGCAAAGTTGAAAGACTTTTTTGTTACAAAGATAAATTAATAATTTCGTGATATATAGATTAAATTGAGTTATTTTTTTGTTACAATTTTCTTGTCGCACAAAAATATAAAAATAAAAATAGTAAACTTTCTAATATCTTTAATTTTCTTTTCTTGGCAGCCAAATAGTATATCCGCATTGGTTAGTGAAAGTCAAAATGTCAAAACCATTTTCCTCCTTCCTTAAGTTTGAACTAATATAAGAAGGAAAACCCAAATAACCCGAATATTGCGCCGTAATCGGACGCCGCACTTGTCGCCGTCGACGGAGATCCAAAATGAGGGCTGTAGTTCAGCGTGTTGTTTCAGCTAGTGTAGAGGTAAACCCTTGATTTTTTTTTTCCTATTTATATAGCTAGGAATAATGGTGCTCACTACTCACCTAGCGCATAATAGCAATTTTGCAGGTAGAAGGGCGTATAGTATCAGCAATCGGGCCGGGCTTGCTGGTTCTGGTCGGGCTTCATGAATCTGACGTTGACTCTGATGCTGACTACATGTAAGTTAACTGTGACAGTAAACATTGGTACTTTGAAATGCTTAATAGAGTAGTAGGAAATATTTTCTAAAGCGAATTTATATTTTCCTTTCGTTTTGTCTACTTGGTTCCGTTAATGTCTGTAATTTGCAGATGTCGCAAAGTGTTGAATATGAGACTGTTCCCAAATGAGGAAACTGGAAAGACATGGGATCACAGTGTAATTTTCACTCCGTTTCGCTCCCTGTTGTGCTGGTTTATTAATATTTATAACACTTACTCCCTCTGTTTCATTTTGTATGCCGTTGTTTGATGGGACACGAGGTTTAAAATGTTATTTTGACTTGTGTATTATATAGTAATATATAGTAATTGAGGAAGAATAATAATAAAGTAGTGGTTGATAGGGAAATATTGTTGAGTATAATGGGTCCCAGCTATTTATTAGTTAGGAGTAATTAGTTATAACTATCTAAAGTTAGTTAGTTGATATTGTATAAATAGAGTATTTAGTTGATAGTGCTGTACAACTATTCATTTTGCTCTTCTTCGTTAGCTAATAAATTGCTTTCTTTTCATTCCTTCTTCTTCTAGAATCTTCAAGTTCTGCCATGACTGAAGCTCCTTAACATGGTATCAGAGCTCGGTGCTCGATCTCCTCAAGCTCAGCTGTGAGAGAACTTGAATAATCCAACTGTATCGAAGCATCAACCTTTCATTGATTTGATCGAGCAATTTCTCAACACAGAAATCTCTCTGCTCAACCTAAAGTTTGGGAATTTTTTATTTTCTGGTTGAATCGCGGTCAGATCGTGTCTAAATTTGTGTGGATTTGATAAAATTGTGAAGATCTCCGGTAAAGCATTTGTTACTGTGATAATGTCGATCAATGAAGAGGTAGTTGGTTCTCCTGTTGCTGTTTCAATGTCCACACCTACTACAAAACTTGTCGACCACAATCACCCTCTCTACATTCATCCTTCCGATACTCAAGGCTGTGTGCTCATTTCTATTCAACTTCAAGGTTCAGAAAACTATTCTATTTGGAGTAGATCTATGAAAATCGTATTGCATGGTAAAAATAAATTAGGCTTTGTCCTAGGCACTTGTAGAAAAAACAGATATGATACTAGTTTGCATGAATTGTGGGATAGATGCAATGCTATTGTACTTGCTTGGATAATGAATACAGTTTCACCAAGTTTAATTAGTTCAGTGATCTATGCTTCCAATGCATACACAATGTGTGAGGATCTTAAGGAAAGATTTGATAAAGATAATGCATCTAGGGCTTGCTATTTGCACAAAGAAATTGCCACATTAACTTAAGGCATATCCTCTGTGTGTCTATGTATTACACTAAACTGAGAGAGTTGTGGGACGAGTATGAAACCTTAACTCCATCACCTACTTGTGGTTGTACTGAATCAAGGAAACATGTAGAATACTATAAGATACAGAAGTTGTATTAGTTCCTCATAGGGCTAAATGAATCCTATGAGAATGCAAAGAATCAGGTCCACATGACTCAGCCCTTGCCTAATCTGAACCAAGCTTATGCTATGATAGTTAATGTGGAGAGTCAGAGAATTAATGGAAAAATGTGTATATGCTGAGAGTAATGAAGCTGCTATGATGAGCAATAAGGTGTATACTGGAGTCTGAAGGTTACAATGGTGGAGGACAGACTAACAATAACTCTAATGGAGGTTATACTGGAAGTTACAATGGTGGAGGACACATTAATACTAATTCTAATGGAGGTTATAGACCTAGAAACTCCTTTGGTAAAGCTGCAGTTTGGTGTGATTACTGCAAATATAAGGGTCATACTAGAGAGAACTGTTTTAAGCTTCATGACTATCCTTCTGACTTTAAGAACAAGAGAAAAGGAGGGGCACAAAATGCTCAGGTTAACAATGTGACAAGTTCTGGTATTCCAACTTCAGAGTCACAAGGTCGACGACATCAGACACCAACTTCTCCAGCTCACTTCTTTACTCAGGAGCAGTACCAGCAGATTATGCACCTGCTGAATAAGGACAAGGAGGCTGAACCTATTGCCAATTCTGTAACTGCAGGGACAACAGGTAGTATACATGCATTTATGACAAGCTAGATGCATAGTAACTGTATTATAGACACAGGAGCAACAAATCATATGGTTCATAGGTTGCACCTGCTAGAGAAGTATGATGAAATACCAGAAAATGTTAGGAGTAAAGTCCATTTACCAACTGGAGAACAAGTGTCTATTACTTATACTGATATTTGTTCTTTTTCAAGGATAAGAAAGTTCAGAACATTCTCCACATTCCAGAGTTTAAATATAATCTCCTCTTAATGTCTAAACTCACAAAGGAGTTGCAGTGTCTAGCAACATTTTACCCTGATTTCTGTGTCTTTTAGGAACTCTCAAGTGGGAAGGTGTTGGGAATTGGTAAGGAAGAGCTAGGTCTGTACATTCTCAAGGCAGATGACAGAGCAATACTCAATCACCAAGGCACTCATTCTTCTTCAATTGTACATACCATTCCAGGTGACACCAATAAATGTAGTAATCTAGCAAACAATAAGACTTGTGCTATATCTTCTTTATGGCATCAAAGATTAGGTAATGCTCCTTTAAAGGTCTTGAGATCTATAGATGCTTTGCATAGTATGCAGCTAAGGGAACATCATTGTACTGTATGTCCTATAGCCAAGCAATCAAGACTACCTTTTCCTACTAGCTCTCCTTGTTCTAAATCTATCTTTGACATTGTGCATGGTGATGTCTGGTGTCCCTATAGGGTGCCTACGCATGATGGCAAGAAGTATTTTTTGACCTTGGTAGATGATTATTCTAGATATACCTGGCTATTTCTATTACATTCTAAATCAGATACTATTGAGATGATCCTCAACACAGTTTGATCACAGACTCAAGTGCCTAAGAACAGACAATGGCACAAAGTTTTTTAATGATCAGATGCAGACCCTTGTTGAGGACTCAAGGTATAGTACATCAAAGCTCTTGTACATATACCCTTCAACAGAATGGGGTCGTTGAGAGAAAACACAGGTCTATCCTAGACATGGCTAGAGCACTCACATTTCAAGCTTTCCAGCCCCTCAAATTCTGGGGAGAATGTGTCTCTACTGCAGTCTACCTTCTAAATCGATTGCCTACTGTCCTACTACAAGGCAAATCTCCCTTTGAGAAGTTTTTCCAAAGAAGTCCCTCATTACAACATCTGAGAGTATTTGGCAGTCTTTGTTATGCTACCACTGTGAAGAAAGGGGATAAGTTTTGCCCCAGAGCAATTTCAGCTGTTCACATGGGCTATTCCTCCTCTCAGAAGGGTTATATCCTCTATGATTTGTGCTCCAAAAGGTTCTTTGTCAGCAGGGACACTGTGTTCAAAGAATAAGTGTTCCCCTTCAAGCATATGTCTTCTGGTGCTTCTCCCTTATTTCCTGTTTTGGAGTTTGTAGAACAACCTTCACAATCAGTTGCTTCTTCTGATGATTCTGCCTTCCCTGCAGCCTCTCCTAGCCAGCACTATACTGATACAGTTGAGACCTCCTCTCCTTCTATCTTAGTTCCTCAAGATCATGGTCAGTCTAATCTATCCTCACCAACTTCTCCTCATGTCTCAGTCTGTGAACCATCTGCTCCCTCCATAGCACTTAGGAAGTCCTCTAGGACCACCAAGCCACCTGTGTGGCTAGCAGATTATGTTGTTCCACCAAAGAAGTCTGCATATCCAATGTCAAACTATGTGGCTTATAATCAGTTGTCCTCCACTTATAAAGCTTCCCTTGTTGCATTCTCAGCTATTGTGGAACCCAAATCCTTCTCAGAAGCCAGTAGGGATCCCAAGTGGGTTGAGGCTATGCAAGCTGAAATCACAACTCTTGAAGAAAACAACACCTGGTCTATTGTTCCTCTTCCTCTTGGCAAGGTTCCTATAGGTTGCAAGTGGGTGTTTAAAGTCAAATACAAGTCACCTGGTGAAGTGGAGAGATACGAGGCCAGGCTGGTGGCCAAGGGTTACAGTCAATAAGAAGGGTTGGATTACACAAAAACCTTCTCTCCTGTAGCTAAAATGGTTAGTGTGAGGGATGTAGTTGCATTAGCTGCTGCTTCAGGATGGTATGTGTTCCAAATGGATGTTCACAATGCTTTTCTTCAAGGAGATCTTCTTGAAGAGGTGTATATGCAGGTTCCTAATGGTTTTTCAAGCCATGAGGAGTGTCAACATGTGTGCAGACTACATAAGTCACTCTATGGATTAAAACATGCACCTAGGCAGTGGAACTTGAAACTAACTGAAGCTCTCGTAGATATGGGATTTGCTCAAAGTCACTATGACTGTTCTTTGTTTTGCTCAGAAGATGAATTCAGAGTTAGTAGTCATTCTAGTCTATGTGGGTGACCTAGTAACTGGAAGCAGTCTACGGCTGATCAAACAAGTCAGAAAGGATTTGCAGGAGAGATTCAAGATGAAAGATCTTGGTGAACTTAAATACTTTATAGGGATTGAGTTCTCTAGATCTCAGGAAGGGATAGTTATGTGCCAAAGGAAGTATGCATTAGAACTAGTTTTTGAACTAGGACTAGCAAGTGCAAAGCCAGCAGCAACACCTCTGGAGTTCAATCATAAGCTCACATCCATTGAGTTTGACAAGCAAATACCAAATGGTAGTTCTACAGTTGATAAGGAACTTGAAGACAAGGGAAGCTATCAGAGACTAGTTGGAAGATTGCTGTATTTAACCATGACAAGGCCTGACATTGCCTTTGTAGTTCAAGTGCTCAGTCAGTATATGCATGCACCTAAGGTGTCTCACATGGAAGCTGCCCAAAGAGTGGTGAGGTATATCAAAACTGCTCCTGGACTTGGACTGTTTATGCATGCAAAAGTAATTAAGTCTCTGTTTGCATATTGTGATTCATTGGGGAGCTTGTGTAGAGTTAAGGAGATCAGTGACAGGCTATGCAGTGAAATTTGGTGAAGCACTGATATCATGGAAGTCAAAAAACAGGGAACTGTGTCTAGGAGCTCTGCTGAGGCTGAATTTCGAAGTATGGCCTCTACTGTAGCAGAAGTGGTGTGGATAACAGGACTCTTTAAGGAGCTGGGAACTGAACTAGTGCAGCCTATACAGCTGCATTGTGATAGCAAGGCTGCTATACAAATTGCAGCTCATCCAATCTTTCATGAGCGAACCAAACACATTGACATTGATTGCCATTTTGTGAGAGAAAAGATTGTTCAAGGTCTGATTAAAACCCAACACATCAGAACAACTGAGCAGCTAGCAAATTTACTAAGAGTCTATGCAAGCCACAACATGAATACCTATTAGGCAAGCTGGGAATGAAAGATGTATTTCAACCCTCAGCTTGAGGGGGAGTGTTGAGTATAGTGGGTCCCAGCTATTTATTAGTTAGGAGTAATTAGTTATAACTACCTAAGTTAGTTAGTTGATAGTGTTATACAACTATTCATTTTGCTCTTCTTCGTTAGCTAATAACAGAGATTGCTTTCTTCTCATTCCTTCTTCTAGAATCTTCAAGTTCTGCCATGGCTGAAGCTCCTTAACAAATATTCACGTCAAAGGTTAAATCTTGAATAGTTAAATGAACTTGAACTCTTGCAAGTTGTAAAAGTTCAATGAAGTGATGTCAAATGTTTTGCAGCATGTCTCAATGGAATGAGTGTTATATAACTTGAAACCAATGGAATAGTTTATATTTTTTTTATCAATTCATTTATTTTTTCTCTCCATGTAGTTGCGAAACTTCTAGTTGTATTGCATATTTAGTTCATGACTGATAAAATATGTGTGGTTTCCTTGTGCTGACTTTTAGTGTTGTCAGCTTCCTGTTTAGTAAGAATTACTGACTGTCTGATTTGATATCGAAAATTTTTGCTTGAGTAAAATGTTTTTCTTTCCTTAAAAAGTTGACCTCCTAAGCTAGTTGAACCTTAGAAATTTACCACCGATAAGCATTGGCACAGAAGAGTTCATTGGCTATGTCATACTATTTCCATTTTATTATGGGAAAAGAAAGAGGCGGAATATATAGAGGATATGTATCACCAACCCCAACTAGTTTGGTGTTTCAACTCTCGTACTAAGACTAATTTGGGTATTTTACCATATTGGTTATTCTGGGTTTGGGAATTTATAAGGATTATAGAATATTGTTATTCCATTTCATATCTCCAATGTCAGATATTCTGATGCAAGATAAATGATGGTAATGTTGCATGGCTTGGACATTTAGAAAAAGAGAATTGTATTGTTTACTGTTCAAATTGTCAATTACTTTAACGCCATGGCTTCAGTATTAAGTTTATTGGCTTCTATTCTCCATTGGCAGGTAGTTCAGAAGAGTTATGAAATTCTGTTAGGTAACTGCTTTTCTTTACAAGTTGTCACAATGGTCAAAGTCTTAACAATGACGCTTTGGAAGTTTGTATGATGGGAAAATAATGTAAAATGACTTTAAAGATGATGCTTTGACTATCTCACAGTGTTGTCAAAGGCGCGCTTAAGCCCTGAAGCGAGGCTCAAAAGACGTTGAGCGCTTCGCCTCGCTATGTGGGCGTTTTAGTGTCGCATCAAAGCTCTAAGGCGTACTCTTCCTTGTCAATGGGTGTAATCCTGAAAAGGCAACCTTAAACAATTGATATTTCACTTTATCATGATTTGTTTTTCAATTTCTTTGTCCATATAATTGTTATTCATGCTTATAATGATTGGTCTTGGACTACGTGCATATTTTTATTTTTTCTCCCGTTGCGCCTTTTTTCATTAAAGCTCACGCTTTATTTGCGCTTAAAGCTCCAACAGACCTTAGAGTTTTTTTGCGCTTTTCGCCTTTGATAACACTGCTATCTCAATGATTGGAAAATAAGTTAAACTTTGATCAGGGTGTATAATGATTTACTTGTATGTCTAATACTGTCGGATGATGCAGTGAGTCAGTTTACACTGTACGGGATTTTGAAGGGAAACAAGCCGGATTTTCACGTTGCAATGCCTCCTGAGAAAGCAAAACCCTTCTATGCCTCTTTGGTTGAGAAATTTCAGAAAGCTTACAAACAGGATGCAGTCAAAGGTGAATAATTTTCTTTTCAGTAAATTCTCAGTTTTGATCTCCTTTTTTGTTAGTGAAGGTCCATGGAAAGACAAAAATGGACATTTCTCTCCGTCTCTCTTGTTTTATTGCTGACGGGCTTCTATGTTCTTGACTCAACTCCTATGTACTTACATAACAAGTTAGCATCAGTTTCAGGCTGTCAGCATAACTATTTTGCTTACTGGGGGCACTCATCACCCCCGATGTGGATTACTTGCTTATCTTTACTCCATTTGCAGACTATACATGTTGACAACTTATCTTTCAAGGTTCTAATACGGAATGCTAATGTTTTCTATTTTCCTTAACTTTCCCCTAGCAATTTCAGCTGTAGAAAGGAGGTGGCAGAAATTTAGTGCAGAATTTCCCTTAAACTAAAGAAATTGTGTGGAATTTTTTAATATGTTTTAATCCATAATGGCGTGATGTAGTAGGTAGCCCCTGCTGTGAGAAAAAAACATTAAAGAATAATTTCCTAAGACAAGAATACTTGTATCATTACATCTGGAATATAAGATCAAACTTTTCCAGCCATTGTAGGATGTTCTGCTATGTTTTTGAAGTGTTTCACTTGTTGCGTTCAACATCATCCATGCAGTCATAGTAAAGACATCTGATAACTACTTCACTGAATAAGGCTGTTGGTTTGCATCTGTGGTGTTTCCATGTCAACTATCTCATTGTTGAGGCTCTTATATTTGCTTGGTGTTGAAAAACATCACATGCATAGATCCGCATCATAGACCTTAAAGCTGAACAATTATCTGCTTTCATTTGAAAACTCCAATTCTTGAAGATATTCTAGTCTCTGTAAGCAAAAAATCAATTCTTCATTGGTATCACTGTTCTCTTGAGATGGTTTTCTGGCTTTTTGTGTATGTGCAATGAATGTTGTCTCTGCAACAGTCAAAAAATTGACTGGCTCTGATGCTATATACGAGGTGCCCATCTATATTATTTTTTGTTTCTTTTTGTGTTTTATTGCAGATGGTATCTTTGGAGCAATGATGAAGGTTAGATTCCATGAAAAAATTATGACTTTAGCTTTAAATTTCTGTTGAACCGGGCAGTTGTGCTCAGACTTGTCTATTCGTTTAATTTGGTAGGTCAACTTGGTTAATGATGGTCCTGTCACGATGCATCTTGATTCAGCACAACCGTCAAAATGAGACATGAAACAATTGATGAAGTGATTCCTATGCGCTTTTGTAGCAGTTTGGATGATAAATCTCATATCCTGAAAGCCAACAAGTGTTGGGTTATTCATTCATAAAAATTTTGTAACCTGAAATCTCGAAAGGAGTCAAAAAGGGGGAAAAGAACAATTTCTTCCCCTACCTTAACAAGAAATGTAAAGAAAGTACCCAGGTGGAATTTTATTATTCGCACATGATTATACTCCAAACTCTTTCATTTGGATTTAAGTGTCATGGATATGAACCTTCAGTTTATGGTTGTTATCGCTTGTTGCAATAGCTGGAACCCTAATTGGATAATACATCGCACCAAAATAATTGGAGAACATACCGCAAATTGCCTAACAGAGCACGTCGCCTACCTCTCATCAGCCTGTGACGCTTCAACTATTTCATCAATCGTCAGTATAGATGCGTCGTTGGTGTCCAATTTTGTTTTTTTGTTTGTATTTTCATGACTATCATTCGATAGGATTTAACAACATTAGAGTGTCCCAGTTTTTTCACTAATGCATATTGCGTAGTTTAGAGCTATGGATATTCATTCGACAATTTCCTTAACAGTGTTACCCTTTTTAGGTTTCCTTAAGCTACAAAAGAGTGCCTCCATCAGTTCCTTCTACTATTTAAGACCTTAATCAGACCAACCAGCAGATATAGAATACAATAGTTCAAAACTAATATGCTGTCATCTAGTGTCGTTACAAGATTATAGGTAAAAATTGATCACCTATCATCGTAGAAAGAAAGCACAAATGTACCTAACCACTAAGGTTTCCTCGACCAAAATTTTTTATCCTTATCCGTTGTGTGCGAAGCATCACCTGACCGACTTCAAGAGATAGGAGGTTACTACTGGCGTCCATTTGAAAAAAATATACATTACCAGCAACAAATATTAACTGCCGTTTCTCCTATGACTTAGTTGAGAGAATGGTTGCTGCTGTAAACACCGCTTCTTTACCAAAAGATAGAATTTCTGTGTTCCTGCATCATATGCCAACTTATTAACTGATGCAGAGCTAGACACAAGAAAAGCTTTTATAAAGAAATGAAGAAATTGCTTCAACGGTCTATTACCACATTAGTATATCATATGTTGAGGCATCAATAAAAGTTGCATTTTAAATAAGGAGAGAAAATCCCGACTCGAACACACTTGCTGGCGAAAATGGATTTCTCAATACTCTGTCAGAAGATACAGAAGGAATAGCTGACAGATCAACCCTGTAACCCTCTTGTGCTGCTTTTTTAATCATTTTCTTTTCTAGCTCTAAAAAGTTATCAAATATACGAAGAAATCTAAAAAAATTCTTAGTGGACTTCTGTTCGTCCGGTTGATTTTCTAACAACTATAGCACTAATCCAAATCAAAAGTAGTCATTCTAATCATAATTATCTGGACCAAATGTGCCTTTCTGATCTTATTTCCGAATAGATTTTTACCTCATCCAGTTTAGGTTCTATATGGAACTGCGTAACTCGGGTAAGGTGTTTAAGCTAAACTCTAATAGGAACATGATACATACAAAATCCACGGAAAAAAGACAAATATGCTACTTCAATTGTCATGTTGCAGATTCTTATGATCTATACCCAGATATTAGGGAAATCTAAAAGCCAGTAGGTGCCTAATTCATTACGAAGCTTGTGCAATGGCTGGTTCAAAAATAATATGCGAAGGCGACAGAAAATCTTTGAAGAAATTAAGCATATTTATCAGCAGGTGAGAGCAACCAATCAACACACATCAAGTAAATCTTACTTGTCTTCTTTTCTGATAGAAGTAAAAGCGGCTATTATGTGCTTGCAGATTTCAGGGAGAGAGCTTCCTTTCATTATCTCTTCGGAATCATCAACATATTCAGCAGAAGATTCCACTGATACTGACAAGTAAGCCTGTAAGAGAATGAAATACTTATCCTGGTCAGACTAGGACAAAATGATTATCTATAACTGAACTCAAAGCCCTTTTGCAGCAACATCTTCTGGAAATTCTGTAAGTAAAGAACTATTCTAGGAATCTAAATTGGATATTAAACGAATTTGTTTGCTAGTAAGAATAATCACCAAAAAGGCATGTCCTAGAAGAAGCTGAGCAACATCAGCTCCAATTTTTTTGATGATATTCTTTGTGCTGCTGCTGTTTGAGAAGCACTTCAGAACACCTTCAAATGTGGAATCATTCCCTGGACTATTTGATCTCCTAGTACGAACAGAAGACTGCAACATCAATTAAATTAAAGTAGTTTTAATAAGACTGCAACATAGAGTACATTAAAGTGATTTTAATTTCTCAAAATTCTAGCTTGTAACCTTTGTATTAAACCAGGCCAAGCTTTTTGAGATGACACCTCAACAATATAATGTACAGGAAAACCACCGACAGAACCAAAAATGAAATTGGGGCATGAATCTTTTGCAATTCCTAAAAAAGGGAAATGCAAACAATTCATTTGTTGAAAAAGCTCAAGTGTCGCAACTAAGGACTTCTGCAAACTCCAAGGAACTTGCTTGAACACCATTCCCATCGAGGAGATTAGAGAAATTTATGCCCCAGATTTTCCCAACTCACAGTAAATATCTTCCATAAAGTAGGCTGCAATTTCTGTCTCTACTCCTTGAATGTGGTAGAATTGAAACAAAAGCTCCCGAATATCATTATCAAGACACTAAGCAACAGAGTGGTTCCACAATCCATGCACTAGTATTTCAGCAACGTATCGACCAGAGACTATATATCTGTAGGGAATTCGTGATTAAATTCAAAAGAGATTGGGTTAATGGTAAAAATCTTTTATGATAAGTGTGGTTAAAGGTAAACATCTTGTCAAGAATTACCCTATGCATTCATGGACAACTTAACATTTCTGCCATCAAAATAAAATGAAGAGACCGGCTCAACGTGGACTAAGACAGCACAAATGGTAAGTTGTGTTTAGGAAGTATAAGGAATGTTAGAATGAGAAACAGGTCATCTTCTATATGCTAATGCCTCTAATAAAAAGTTTCACGTTCAATATCTACAGAGTCCAAGGACTTCTCAAACAAGGTTATGAGTCTTTGACATGGCGGCTTGGACATCTAGCGAACATACTGTCTTAACAAATAAACTAATAACTCATCCCTGTATTTATATATAAAAGAGTGTACTTCTGGCCTTAAAACTGAATGTGTCATGCTGTGCAACAAAAATAGGACTGAGAACATCTAGATAGCATCCAGAAAAATGTAACTACAGACAAGTCTCAACTGTCATTCGAACATGTACAAGTACCAAGTCACTAGAAATTGACTTTATGCTGCAGCAAGAATCAAAATATGATCATGTCCTCATCTCATGAAAACATGCAAAATATCCTACAAGATGGAGAAAAAAGTGTGGACACTTTATGCTTTTCCAACAGCGTTAACTTAAAGAAGTGTGGATTATCCCGGTGGAATAGTTGGACAGCATTGAACAAATAGCATAACTGTTCAATTGCAGGGTAGGACACTTCGTATGACATAAGCCTGCCATTAGAAGCGCCACATAAAGATTGCAGCATGAACCCAGTAATCAAAAAGGCAGAAAGGTTGGCAGGATAGAAGAAGTTAGTAGAAAAGGTTCGAAGAAGTATTTTCGAAAGCAGAAAAGGAGGTATGTATCAAGAGCATATTGTCTAACATCCCAACATATTACATGTATCCTATCACCAAAAAGTTATAAAGACTCCAAAGACAAAAGAAAACAAAACAGAGCAACAATAACAACAGAATGCCAACAACAAAATACTAAGCTTCATAATGAAACTAAATTTGATAGACTAAAACAATGCCCCAATTCTTGTATCTAGCCTACCTTCCACTACATAATTCCTACCAGGTGAATTAAGTGGAGATACTTCCAGTGTCTGTTTTTACATTTGTTAAGATCTGTCATGATGACAGAAGAATCCATTTACCTTAGGAATGTACTTCTGAAAATACGGCATGATCATTTTTAGCTTCCACCTGGGGTCATCAAAGACCTGTAGAAATTTATTTCATCATTTAGGTAACATTCTCCTTGACAACCAAGGTTATGTCAGAATGACAAAGAAACATGTAACAAATGCTCAAAGTCTGATTGCACATTTGTGATATAAGATTTCCAGGAACCATGTAGAGAAAATGTTATTATCTTCCCAGTAAAGACACAAAAGTATAACCTCATTGTCCTACTAAAAGAGGAAAGGACATTACCTGAAAAAAGGGGGAGAGCATGTCAGAATTGTAAGCAAGTTCATCCAAAATGATCTCTGCAGCAGGTGTTCTGCACCATCTCCGATATCAATTATATTTCTTAATCTGATGGCTTTATTAAAAGTAAAATAATTTATTGAAGGAAATACCTCACACCATCAGCTCTGGTGGTAAGGCCTTGAACATCTGCCACATCCCGTGATGTATCCAGCTCCATCATCTAATTGTGAAACAAGTCACCGTTAGAACTGGTCAAATACATATTTTAAGGAATAGAATGCACAAGAATTCACCATTATGAGGAGCTTCTTCAAATAGAAGCAAGTAGATCGTTTGAGTTCAGGTAAAGCTAGTGCAAAAGCAGAAGTGTTAATATATGATATCTCCTTTGAGGGAGGTGCCACTGAATCCAGATCAGAGGTGGACTCAGATTGGTCAGATAAATCAGAGAACACATCACATATAACCGACAGGCAGTCCTTGACTAAGCCTTTGTAGATTATTTTTCTTGACCCCTGAACAATGAGCGGAAGACAAATAAGTAATGGCATCCTGTGCATACCTCAGCAAACTAACACTTCTAATTAGCAATATCACAGACAAATAAATAATGGTAACATTTGAAAACGAAAAATATACCAGAAGCACGTTGAGCAATGAATCTCGCAAAAGGGTCCATCTCATCTTCTCTGCAAGATGAACCTCTTAACATTTCAAGAAGATTTCTTAAGGTGCATAACACTTCATTAGAATTAGAATCCTCAAAAAATCATTACCTTTAAATGCATAATTACAAGGCACAAAGTCTGCTTCAAGCACGCTGACAAGATAGTGAAGTAGTAACATCTTCCTTAAAATCTGCAATTGATCTTGTCAGACTATCTGATGAAAGATGAAAGACAAGGTAATTCTTCAATGATGACAATACGCACAAACTGATGAACTAAATGGCTGACAAAGGATTTAAGTACAACTTTGACCTGTGAATTATCTTATTAATCTAAAAGAAATAAGTACAACATTGACCCGTGAAATTAACTTATTAGTCAAGATTGTCAGAAAGGCATGTTCAACTAAATGCATAGCCCGCAAAGGAATTCGACATAACTATATATCTAAATTAAAAGCTCAATACAGAAATACACACTATTGGTGAAAAAGAATGGTCAGAAGCTAACTGTACTAGCACTTGGTTAATTGATACATGCTCACCATGAGATACTGCTTCAATGGAAAAATGTGAAAAACAAATAATAACTTATATACTTCTTATATGCTCAAGGAAATGCAATATATGCTCATAAATCAAGAAAAATGTGAAAAGAACCCGGCTACCGGACTAAGTATAGCTGAAATTGCAATTACTACTGGATCTGAACTCACAATCTATATGATAATAAAAGGAGAACATATTTATTACAAGTCACAGAAATGGAAAGAAAGCTTCAATGTGGTACCAACCTCTGTTTCTAATGCTTTTGATTTCTGGTTGACCATTTTCCCAAGCTCTTGTATTAGTGAATGAAAGCCCTAAAATCACCAGAAAGATTACCATCACCAAGATACAGGTGAGAGGAATAACAAGATTCAGTAGAATAGGAAAACACAATAAGAAATTGATGTGAATGTGTGATATAGCCATTACATAAGATCTGACTCACCAAGGAGTCAATTGATCCACTCGAACCTTTATTTATTTCATCATCCTTATCCAACCCAAGAGTAAATGGACACCAGGCCTGAAATAGAGTACCCAATCATTACTATTGACAAAACAACTCTGTCTAGGAACCACGGAGTCGTCAACTATGAGAGGGTGGAGATACCTCTTCAACCACAACAGGTTCATTCGAAATGGTTGGTGGCAGACATGATTCTGTCTTCTCCATTTTGGGCAAGCACAACCTAGGAAAGCGCTACATTCACAAGAAATTCCATTCAAGTAAAAATGTCAAATGCGGTAATAAAAGAAAAAAGGGCAGCTTAGAGCATGAAACATCCCGCATTCATGCATGGTCCGGAAAAGGGCCGCACCCCTAGGGGTGCCTGTATGTAGCCTACCCTGATGCAAGCATAGTGACTGATCCCATAGCTCTTTTAAACTTAAACATAAAACATGATGAATAAAGCAAACGTGTACCTTATCCAGCTCATTTAAAAGTTGATAACTTCCCATTATTAGTTCAAGGGAAGTCTCTTCCTTCAAAATTTGGAAAATTGCCTGCCACATCGTGCTGTTCCAGTATATCCATTAATTAGATGTAAGAATCATTACATCTCAAATTTCAGATTAAAAACTTACATAGACTAGTCCTACTATATACTCTAATACAAACAGAAAAAACATGACAAAACAGAAAGGGAGAAAAGATTACTTACCTAGTAGGCGGAGTTCCATTATCAGGAAGTAACGAAGCAGAGCGAACAGCTTCCAGAAAAGCAAGCCCTACGAAAAAAAATCAGAATTGAAATAATTAACGGATGAACAAATGAAAGAAATAAGAAAAGTGAAAAAGGCGTACTGTCGTCAAGGCGGTGGTGAGAGTGTCGATTGAAACCAGAAGTATCGAGAATTGCCATTGTGTTCTCCTCAATTCCTCCATTATTCCTTCCTCCACCTCCTCCGCTCTTTCGCTTTTCCATTCTCCCTTCGATTTCCTCTCCGACTTTTTCGTTTTCTCAAAACCCTAGGAAGAAACGAGTTTCCCTCACGCCTGGTGCCTCTTTGGTTTTTTTTTTCCCCGCCACTTTCACAGGCTCGTCAGCGAGAAAAAGAGAAAAATAGGATTTACAAAAATATTCCGTTGCCGGGAATCGAACCCGGGTCTTTCGGGTGAGAGCCGAATATCCTAACCGACTAGACTACAACGGATTTGTTGTTTAAACACTTGGTTAGTACTAATTTACAGTACAAGCGTTGCGCATGAATCCTTATCTATAGAAATAAATTTTAAAAAATCACATGAATAATATTATTTGAATTCCTATATTACTCAAATAAGTATAGATTTAAAAATATATATATGTAGAAAGTTATAATTTAAACGATCTTATAAATTATAGTACAAGTTAATGCTAATTTCAATATATACATTTAAGTATCTTATCTATGTTTCGCTTCTCAAATATTGTAATTGGATTTGTGATTTAATATGACCATATATTGTGAGCACCTAATTTTTGACTATATTTAAAATTTTTACCATTTTTTTAGTATTCAGTTTTAAGTTTAATTTTGATATTTTAGATTTTACTTAAGAAAAAAAAAAAAGAAAAGATGAAAAGCAAAAAGGAAAAAATCGAGATAAGAAAAGAATGAATTTGTTATGAAGTTAGACTAACGTTTTGTAATAAAAAGAAAGTTACTTCTACTCTTTAATGTTACGACCCAATTATATTTTTAGATCGTGATGGCGCCCGACACCGTTGCTAGGCAAGCCAACCGTAACCAATCTAGTGAATCCCCTTTTTAATAAGATTTTCAAGTAATTAACTTTCCTTAATTTAAAAGATTTGATAAAGAACAAATTTAGAATAATTAAAAAGAAAGCAGCTAAATGCAATCATAACCGTAGAAATAAAGCCAAAACTACCAATCTAGTAATGTGTGCCAAGACCTGGTGTCACGAGTGTATGGGCTACTAGTAGAATATACAGAAGATTACTACTCTACTGACTGAAATGAAATAGACGGAACAATAACAAAAGAAAGACCTTGGCTGCTGCAGAACGGCTCAAAGGCAGCTCACCGTGTAGTCTCGTAACAGGAATCAAGTGTGCACGTCGGACTGATACCCAGACGCACCTGCCTCAGATGCTGCACATTAAGTGCAGAAGTGTAGCGTGAGTACATAAACAATATGTACCCACTAAATATCCAGTCTAACCTCGAAGAAGTAGTAACGGGGGGTCGACTTTGATACTTACTATGGGCTAAAAATAATATGCCAAATTTACAAATAAGCATGGATTTTGTGAATAATACTGAAAAACTCAATAACATAAAATAATAAATAATCCTTTCACAAGTACTAAGTCCCGAATTTATTTTCATCATTTAACAATTTATATCTCAAGCCAATGAAACAATATCAATTATAAATGATTCCAAAGATGTATCATACACAAATTATACCGAGGTCGTATGGCCCGATCCAACATGAATATTTAAATTGCGCACTGTCGAGGGTCGAACGGCTCGAACCATAGATGCATCTATCTGCTACCGAGGCGCTTGGCCTGCTCCACAAATACTTTAAAGAAACACAAATACTCAATAACAGTCAAGTATTCCGTTCACAACTTCAAGGAAGTGAAATTTAACCTTTTACAATTCTTTTGTACATTTTCAAAAATGACTCAAGTAATTAGACCAACCAGTGGGGTGCAAACATTTCAAATATAGCATGATATGGATCCTAGACTACCCGGACAATAGTATGATTAGTAGCTACATACGGGCTCTCGTCACCACGTGCGTACGTAGCCCCCCCTCCCCCACAATTAGGATTACATATTAATTAATTCACCTATGGGGTAAATTCCCTCTTACAAGGTTAGAAAAGAGACTTATCTCGTCTCAATGCCTACTTTTCTGTCCAAGATGGTGCTCAAACCCTCAATTCGGTGCCGAACAAGCCAAAACTAGTCAAATGGTTTAATAATAAATCAACACATGTTTAAAAGTTCATATTCCAACTATTGAAAGGATTACCCATCCCCAAATACATGATTTAAATCATGTTATAATCTACCCATAAACTATGTGTTTAACTCACATTTGATAGGAATTAATTACCTCAATTAGTTGATGAAAATTCCCTCTCTAACCTAGCTCCAAAATCGCCCCCAAGAAGTGTTAAAAATGAGCAAAATGCTCAAACCCCGATTTAAAACACCCACTGCCTTCAGCGATTTATCGCACCTGCGGTGCCTTGACCGCATTTGCGGTACCGCATCTGCGGTGCTTGGGCCGCTTCTGCGGAATCTCCCAATCCAGTGAAGGTCGCTTCTGCGGAGGGGAGAGCCGCACCTGCGGATTCCGCTTCTGCATCAAGGGTGCCACTCCTGCGGAGATGTCCGCTTCTGCACTCCTCAAACTCGCACCTGCGCGTTCGTAGGTGCGCACAAGGCCTCGCACATGCGGTCCACTGCCACACGTCCCCTAACCACTTCTACGACGCACCCAATGCACCTGCAGCCCAAGGCTCGCAGGTGCGGTTGCACCAGAACTGGTGTAACCAGCAGCCCTCTTTGATTCAAACTCCATCCGCGCATCATCCGAACGGCATCCGGGGACCCCGAGACCCGGTCCAAACATACAAACAAGTTCGAAATGATAAAACGGACTCGCTCCAACTCTCGAAACACCAAAAACAATATCAAAACTAAGAATCACACCCCCAAACCAATTGAATCAAAATTTGAACTTTAAGTTCTTCAATTTACTCCCAATGCGCTGAAATGTACTTAAACTACTCGTAATGACACCAAATTTTGCGAGCAAGTCTTAAATGACACTACGAAACTATTCCTGGTCTCGAAATTTCATTTGGACCACAATAACATCAAAACCTACCCCAAATCAAATTTAAAGAATTTCAAAAACCTTCAACGGACCCACTCTCACTATTAGGCGTCAAAACACTCCCGGGTCATCCAAAACCCGATCTGAACATACGCCCAAGTCCGAAATCATCGTGCGAACTATTGGAACCGTCAAATCCCGATTCTGAGGTCGTTTACTCAAAACGTTGACCGAAGTCAAACTTAGCCTTTTTAGCCAACCTTAAGGAGCCAAGTGTTCTGATTTCAACCCGAACCCTCCCAAATCCCGAAATAACCATCACTGCAATCCATAAAACAGTAGAAGCACGTACGGGGAGTTTATTTAGGGAAACATGGTTCTAAAAAGTAAAACGACTGGTCGGGTCATTACATTCTCCACCTCTTAAACAAACATCATCCTCGAACGGGTCTAGAATCATACCTGGAGTGCTGAATAAGTGTGGATATCTGCTTCGCATGTCCTCCTCAGACTCCCAAGTCGCCTCCTCGACCTGTTGGCCTCTCTACTGAACCTTTATTGCGAAAATCCTCTTGGACCTCAACTGGCGAACCTGCCTGTCAACAATGGCAACTGGCTCCTCCTCGTAACCCAGGCTCTCATCTAACTGAATCGTGCTGAAGTCCAACATATGTGATAGGTCGGCATGATACCTCCGGAGCATGGATACATGGAAAACCGGATGAACTCCTGATAGACTGGGCGGCAAAGCAAGCTCGTAAGCAACCTCCCCAACTTGTTTCAATACCTCAAATGGGCCTATAAACCTTGGACTCAACTTGCCCTTCTTCCCGAACCTCATGATTCCCTTCATCGGCGAAACCTTCAAGAGAACTTTTTTACCCACCATAAATGATAAATCACGTGCCTTCTGATCCGCGTAACTCTTCTGTCTGGACTGTGCCGTGCGAAGTCGCTCTTGAATCAACTTTACCTTTTCCAAGGCATCCTTTACCAAGTCAGTACCATATAACTTAGCCTCGCCGGGCTCAAACCACCCGATGGGAGAACGACATCACGACTATATAAAAGCCTCAAATGGAGCTATCTCGATACTGGAATGATAATTGTTGTTGTAGGAAAACTCAGCCAAGGTAAAGAATCAATCCCACTGCCCTCCAAAGTCAATCACACATGCTCTGAGCATGTCCCTCAGGATCTAAACTATCCGCTCCGACTGTCCGTCGGTCTGCGGGTGAAATGTTGTGCTGAGCTCTACGCAGGTCCCCAACTCACTCTGTACTGCTCTCCAGAAATATGAGGTGAACTGAGGGCCTCTGTCTGATATGATGGAAACAGGCACACCATGCAACCGAACTATCTCCTGAATATAAATCTGGCCAACCTCTCTGAAGTATACGTAGTCACAACTAGGATGAAGTGTGCCGACTTGGTCAATCTGTCAACAATGACCCAAACTGCATCGAACTTCCGCAAGGTCCGCGACAACCCAACTACGCAATCCATAGTAATGCACTCCCACTTCCACTCAGGTATAGTCATCTACTGAAGTAGGCCACCTGGTCTCTGGTGCTCATACTTAACCTGCTGGCAATTTAGGCATCTAGATACATACTCGACTATGTCTTTCTTCATCCGCCGCCACCAATAATGCTGTCTCAGGTCACGATACATCTTCGTAGCACCTGGATAAATGGAATACCGAGAGTTGTGTGCTTCCTCTTGAATCCTCTCCCTCAAGCCATCGACATTGGGAACACATAGATGACCCTGGAGTCGCAGAACACCATCCTCGCCGATAGTAACCTCCTTGGCACCACCCTGTAGCATCGTCTCTCTGAGAACCATCAAGTGCGGATCATCAAACTATCGGGCCCTATCCATTAGTGAAAATCGAGCAACGACACATGCAAGAACTCGGCTGCGCTCTGAAATATCCAACCTCACAAGCCTGTCAGCCAAGGACTGAATGTCCCAAGCTAGTGGCCTCTCCTCTCTTGAGATGAATTCCAAGCTACCCATACTCTCTGCCTTTCTGCTTAAGGCATCCGCGACCACATTCGCCTTGTCCGGATAATAAAAAATGGTGATATTATAATCCTTCAGTAACTCAAGCCATATGCGTTACCTCAAATTGAGATCCCTTTGCCTGAACAAATGCTGCAAGTTGCAATGATCAGTGTAACCCTCGCAGGACACTCCATAAAGATAAT